CATACAGGTTTGCCTAACTTCATAAATTCTTTGTGACAAATAGGCATTTGAGTGTGTAATTCACTACAGAACAGGCAGCGCACTAAAGAATTTTTATGGAAGGTTCTTTATGAAACTTAATAAAAATTAGACTGACCCCTTCAATTTCATAACTATTGGAAAGCACCTTGTACTTAGATTTCTTAGTTGTTAAATCTCCAAAACCTCTTGCGATATTTAAGTGGTGGAGCACACATTAAGGTCAATTTGAGTCAAGTGGATAGAGAGTACCTTTGGACACTTTTAAAACTGCAAATGGGCTTTCAAAATTGTCCTCAGTTCCTGTGATTGTCAGCCGATTCATTTGCTGAAACTCTAGTATAAAGGCAGCGCAAAACCAAACTGTGTCAGCTGTGGGACCAGTAGAATTTGGGTTTCTGCCTGTCTTTGAATAGTGGTATTGGCAGCTGGGATGGCCCTGAGGCTGTCATTTTAGCAAGCATTTGTATGGTTGTTCAATAGCACTACATCTCCTTTTTATATCCAGTATTACTAGATGGTTTCATTGTTGGGTACAGTCAAATTAAAGGTGGCTGTCAGTTTTCATAGATCCCGTCGGTTTGCTAATGTTTTAATTTTTGTTTTAAAAACTGGCAGGGACAACAAATAACCCATCCAAACTGAAATATTTTTCCTCATGTCCATTTTTTAGAACAGATTATTAAAAGTAAACATTAAGTCACTTACCAAGAAAATACCATCCTGTGTTGAAAAATTATGATGCTTTAAAGATAATAGCATTAAAAGATTTTAACTATTTTAAAATAAATGTATAGATTTTTTTTCCACAAATTTGGAACAGATTCCTGACAGAGAAGATGGAATAAGGTCAAAGACCTAAGACTCATCACGAATGGCTTACATTTCCAAACTAAAAAAAAGCCTGTACACATAGAAGGAACATTGCCTGAATCACAACAGAATAAATCATAGAATTGTAGAACAGTTTGAGTCGGAAGGGATGTTCAAAGACCATCTAGTCCAGACCACCTGCCATGGGCTGGGACATCTTTCACCAGATCAGGTTGCTCAGCGAAGAATTATGTTGATGTCACTTAACATCAAGGAGTTTGTGAATAACATTTGAGCTGAGGAATGGGCAAAGCTTTCAGGTGCCTGTGTGCATGCAGTTGCAGGGTGATCGTATTCACCACCCTTTGAGAGAAGGACAAGTCAGGAGCGTAGAAATAATCAAATAGGAGATGGAAAACCAGGAAGACATTTCAATAGCTGCCCAAACACGCTGTAAAGAAAGGAACCAAAGTTGTTCTACACAAACGCTAGAAATCTAAGAAACGTGATGGAGGAACCACAATATTGGCTAAATATCAGAGGATAGAAGATTGGCTAAATAGACCTGTGGTTTGAACCATGATGGCCATTCTTATTTTCTGGTCAGTCCATACTTGCCTTTTCAAGTCAAAACTGGTCTGGGATATAAGTGGGCTGAAATGTCATTTTTACAACTATGTTCCAAGTGGGAAACGCATGGTCAAACCCAGAACCCTGCATAAGGGAGCTGAAGAGCTCTGCTGATCACAAGGAACAGACAGGGACTGTCACCTACCGGGTACCGCGTGGCTGAGCTCTGAAGCCCCATCACAATGTCAGAAAGCAAGTCATAATAGATGATCTTAGATGCAACAGGAGTTACAAGATAAACTTCAGTCACCCATGCTCTTGGATTGCCATTAATCTCTACAGGAGGCATCAATGAAAAGGTGTCAATAAGAATAAACTGGGAAGTAAACCCTACTTAAAAAAACAACCAACCAACCCTGGAAAAGAGAAACCCTCCAGCTTTAGATTGGAAGCAAGGGGAGCTTTGCCAGGTGTGGGAGTGCAGAGAGGCCTTCGAGTGCTGCACCCCACTGCAGCTATGACTCCGTCTATGGTGAGCACTCGTTGGCTCTGTCTGGGAGCATGTACTCTCCCCATGCTCCTCTGAGCTCCTGCTGATGGCAGGTAAAGCTAATCTGCCAGATGGTACTGGCTCTAAGTATCCAAGAGAGCCATCAACCCCTCATTCTGACAGGCAGTAGCAAGAATTAATACAGGCGATAATTAGTCACTGCGTTTGGCTGCTTTTCACTATTAAAAGAATGGAGAGTTCTTCTCCTATGGGAATGACATGAACGTGTGTTTGCCAGAGCCAGGCTGGATTGGAATGGCTTCTTGCATTGCCAAATAGAAATCCAGAGCTGCTGCCCTAACGAGAGCTCTGGAGGATCCCCATGGAAAACAGTCACAGGAGGAAGGCAGGTAAATGGTGACAAGTGGAGCCAGGGCCCCCGTGGCTGACCGCTACCAAGTGGTGGGCAGGCAACTCTCTGATGTTTAGGAAGGCGTGGGGTTTCCTCTCTCTGAAACGAGTCTCTTCAGGTTGGGAGTGCAGAGTAGCCAGACCCCGGTGACCTCCCGAGGAATAAAGCAGGGTCACACTTCTCTCCAGAAAGCAACGCTGGTTTTTGCAGGACCCCGGGCAGCTAAGACTTGGGAACAGCCTCGCTAAAGTCTGCTGCCAGTGGGACTGAAAGTGGGGAATTCTCATGTTCAGACTAAACCCAACATACGCACAAACAGAGATGTGCTTGGACTTGGTCCCTCACTCCATTTCCACTTGACATTAGCTACTGGCCCCCCACCAACAGTAAGAGCTGGGAAGAAACATCCCAACAGTTAATTCCAGGTCCTTCCAGCAAAATACACACAGCACCCCAAGAATGGTCTGGAAAGCAGAGAGACACAGTGGTGTGATAACAAGGTCACCGCAGACAAGCAGCGGCAAAGGCACACTTCCATCTGTCAAAAACTTTGAGTGCATTTGAACATAATGGTGTACTGAGGCTAAAGGACTGGAAAAGCGGGATGACGTGCTTAAACGCACAACCTCTGTTTGCCCTTGTGAAGATTATGAGCCATACCTAAAAGTGCATTGCCACAGGATCAGGTAAATTGGCTTTTATTGAAACATACTGTAATATGGGGGCGAGGGGAGCTGGGGGGAAGATTCCAATTTAACACAAGTACATTGCATTTCAGGCTCCCAAATAACTATTGATATCTGCTGTCCTGGAGCAAATCATATCTCCCTTGACAAGTCAGACAGCTGCTCTTTCTCTATCTTCCTTTTGTTATCTTTAATAGCCATGGACTGTTGTGGTACCTTAAAAAAAAAGTCTGCAACTTACTTGATGGATGTCTCACCTCCTGCCGTTAGCCCTGGTTCATGGGTTCATCTAATGCCTGTTCTTGCCTACAAAACTCAGACCAAGTGCTTTTGAAATGAGAGTGTGCCGGGTGCCAGCGCAGAGGGGGCGCAGAGCACACTGTGTACAGCTCCTCTTCCCCTCCAGCTGGCAGCCAGCGGGGTGAACAAGCTCTCCTGATCATCCTAAAATACAATTAAGATAGAAGCAACCTCTGGAGCTCATCTGGTCCAGGCTCCTGCTCAGAACAGGGCCAGCTTTCAAGTCCTGTAAGATTGCTCAGGGTCTTCCCCAGCGGAGGCCTGACTATCTTCAGGGAAGCAGATCCCACAGCTTCTCGGGGCAAATGTTCCCAGGTTTGAGCACAGTCATTGGGAAGAATTTTCTTCCATTTGTTTAAAGTACGGGAATAGTTGTATCTTAAATACAGGAATACTAACAATTGTAAGACAGGTCTAAAGAAAACCATGGCTATGTTTGCCCAATTTCACCCAGACATTGAATTGAAAAGCACAAACGAAATCTCTTTCAGGCTCTCAACTGTCCTAAGGTGTGTCAAAGGAAATAAAGACAAATGCGGTAGAAAGGGCTGGGGGTGATGATAGTGCAGCTATTCCCTCCCTTTCCTCTGTCAGACTTTGCTGCCCCCAAATCTCAGTCAATGCCATGGGCCAAGGTCTCCCCAGCCTGCCCCAGGTCAGCCCTGAAAGCCTTCAACAGCAAACTGAAGTGTGTGTGTGGGTTAAGTGAAGTTATATGTCTTTGTGATGCAAAGGAGGACTGCTTATGTGGTCCATTCACAGAATCACAGAATCGATGTGGTCGGAAGAGACCTCTGGGATCGTCGAGTCCAACCTTTGCCCTAACACCACCAGGTCAACTAGACCATGGCACTAAGTGTCACCTCCAGCTGTAGGGGCACAGCCCTCTGCATACAGGCACTACAAAGAGCTGGACAAGTTAACAATTTGAACAGCCACGATCCCTTCTGCAGTCTTTCTGTGGCAATTACCCACTTGCCCTGGCATCGAGGGAAACGAATGCAGCTGGAGACCTGTACCTGTTTGAACCAACTAATGAGGCTCTGTCCAAAATCACCAAAGAGCACCTAATAACAACTGCCAACTGCTATTATGCGTTTAGGAGCAACCTTTAAACTACAGCATTAAAAAATCTCCTTCTAGGGAACATCCTTAAGTTGATGGGTATCATGGAAATCATACATAACCCTGTATTAGCTACCCAGGTGCCTCTGCTTTTTGTGTCTCTATTTGCCTGATTAATCCGTGATTAAGAGCTAGTGCTAGCTGCACATCCCTAGTCAGGTTTCATATTCCTAAATGGGAAAAACCAACCCCTTTGGACCAGACTGTAGAACAAGCATCATTTCGGATGGAAGGGCAAGACTGACACATTCAGTACAGAGTTTTGGCAAATATAGTAATAAATAGGGTCCTCTTTATACTTCCCAGTGGTGCAGGCACACACCTATTTTTCACGTGCTGGTGGAGCAGTCAGCATTGAGATTGGCCCTTCTAACACTCAAGTGGGGAGAAGGGATTTCTGCTCTAATGTATGCTTTGTCAGCCCCTCCAAGCTCTCTTGTATTCTCCTTGTATAGCTGAGACCGAAGGAGATAATTTTGGTTTTGAATCCCACATTTGTAGCCATCAGCTAAAAAGAATAGTAACAGAAAGAGAAATTTCGATCCTCCATCATGAAATTAACAGCCATGCTTTGTGATTTGAACAGGTCCCCAGTGGTACCCTTCCCGCGTTGGCCTCCAACTAGAACGCAGTAAGTATTCATACAGTTGAATATGGTCACCTAAGGTATTATTAATCCTCTGGTAAGGTCTCCTCCTAACAGTACTGCTCTCTCTATACGTGCTATTGGGTGAACTGTTAGCACTTTTTCATTAATTGATATCAATAATTAACTTATTAGCTTTCTCATTAATACAGAATCTAATGGTTTTGATAACCACTGAGTAAAAATATTTCAGAAGACAGTATATGATCAAATAATGATGATCAGGCAGTTTTAAAACCATTCACTCACTCACTGTATTACCCATTTTAATATTTGCTCACAGCCTCATCAGAACATGCAACTGGCTGCAGAAGGCAGTCTCTTTTTTTGTGCCAGGACACCAGTTCTTGGTGGACATGGCAGTGAGAGATGTGGGCTGTGGGGCATTTGGTCTGTGGACACGTACCATTGCAGAGCCCTGGAAAATAAGGGCTCAGCGCCTGGTGGAATTTAGCATCCTCACTGACTTAAACAGTCAAAAAACATATGTTGAAAGGGAGATACAAGACATAAAATGGAAAAGAGAAAAGAAGCGTTGCAGCCACAGCAACACCCCGTGCTAGTGGCTGTTGGGTTTTCCTAATATCCACCTCGCTGCCTCTATTAAAAAAAAAAAAGACAACCAGATATTACCATTTTATGTCTCTGCCTGTACACTCAAGGTCCATCAGAACTGGAAGGAGATGCCTCAGAATACTGTGAAAAGTGATGTAATGCTCAGACACACCTGGTCTGCCCAGGTCAGACAGCTTACAGAGAAATCTTGGACTGTGGGCCTTTGCCCAAGAAGTTGTGTTCATCATGATGGTACAACCTATTGTAAAATAACCCGAGAATGCAAACGCTTCAGCAAAAGACATCGGTGAGGGAGACACCGCGTAACATCGACTTTCCCATTAGTCTTGCAAGACAGAACAAAAAGTGCTCTATGAAATTGTCTGTGTGATTGCATGGCATGTCTCTAATGGTGTAGATTAACGGAGATAGCACCGTAACAATTGCTATGCATTGCTGCCCAGTGACATGTCAGCCTAATGCTTTTGTTGAAATGAAAGGAGAATAACTCTCATCGAAATGCTCTCGGTTGCTAACCTGGAGAATAAGTATCAAGTCACCAAAATAAATCAGAATAGAAGCTGGGCCTACACCTTCACCGTTAGCAGGGCAGCCTACGTGTTATGCTGAGCCTTTGAGAGGATGCCTGTTGTCCATGCCACCTCCTCTTCCCTTTTTTGTCATTACAGATGGGCCCTATTTGAAGGATTCCATTAACATTCAAAGCCTTGCCGTTTCCTCCATCATTACACTGTACTTTACAGACCTGGGTCAGCAGGTCAGTTGGACCACAGTAAGTATGTCCTTGTAACAATCAACACGATACATCTGAATGTACAATGGTTTTAGCATCAAATTATTCCAACTTCCTCAGCCTGTCCTTCCCTGTGTCAAACGGTATAATTACTTTATCAGTAGTCAAAACAGAATTAAATGGATAGTGAGCCAAGTTATCAATGTGCTAACTCTGACATCCAGTTAAAGATTAGAAGCTGGACATAACAATATTGCCTGAGTGGGGGAAAAAAAAAAATAAATCAATTTTTAAAAACAGTTTTAGCTTATCTGGGGTTTATATGCCTGTGCAGGACCTGTAGCCAAATACATTCATTTGCTACAAGGCTCCTCGGCTTTGAAAGTAGAAGGATATTAAAAAGAAAAAATGAATTTCTGCTAATCCTGTTACTGATGCAGGAAAATTATTGGATGGGAACGTCTTACTCTTTGTTCACCCGAAGAACAGTTCCGAGAGTGGTGAGGCCAAGGATTCCAGACAAGAAGGTGCCCAGCCAGGCTCAGGAGTCACAAAACATTTGAATCTCTTTGTAAAACAAAAGCATTTGCCATGAGCAACAATACCCGTACTGCGCTGTAGGTAGAACCATGGCCTGTTTTTCATTCTGGCCTCAGTTTCACTTCAGTTATTTTCCTGTAAGCAGCTGCTGGGAGCTCAGGGTGGTGAAAGAGGGGCAACCTGTTCCATCCCAACGAGGTTGTGGGGAACTCCAACCTTACAGGCTCATCTGGGCAAGGAGGCAGTGAAAGTGTCAATTCTTTCACAGCCCCAAGATGGAAGACAGCAGAAGGGGTTGAAAGGACAGTGAAGGAATGGGAGATGAAGAGACCTTTCCAACATCCTGCAAGGGCATAGGTGACGGAGCTGAAAGTAGTCTCACTGCAAGCCTGCCCTAGCTTTGGCTGTAGTTGGCATGTACTGCGTAGCTGGAGTAACACACAGCCCACATCTGTATTTCGGGTAATGAGAGACCCAATTTCTGCAGAGAGGAACATGAATAAGACAGAAGTACAGTTTCTGAAAGCCATAAAAACCACGATGAGATTATTCATAGCAATAGCAAACAAACCAATTGCTTCCAATTCCTTTAATGAAGCAAATGAGTTTTTGCTAACTGGCATCATGGCTGTAGGCCAAATTCTTAGGTTCTTACCTCAGGCAGCCCAGAGATCCCACCCTGCCCACGTGAGGGGACCACCAGACCCACTGACAAGCCAGTGTCCTTCCTTGGCTGGGCCTATATGGATGGAGCTTGTGAGTGTCAGGTCTCTAAGCAGCTTGGAGGTGATAGTACTGGTTCCTCTCTCCTGTAGGTCACTATGGGCTAGGAAGGATTACTACAAGACGTATAGAACGGACATGCTATTTTACAGCTCCTTATCCGTTAAACAGTACACTCCAGGTGGATGTTACTGCCAGAGCTGCCCTCAATTTTGGGAAGAGTCGACTTCTGGATCAGCGCTGTAAGGTCACACAGCCATCTCACCTGCCCAAGCTCACGTGCTTTTCTCTCTCTCCAGGGAAGCAGACAGTCCCCATAGCAGCACAAACTCTGGCAGGTTTTAGCCTTTATGAACGCAAACATGACCTATAGCTATACTTCCCAGTTCTAACAACGGGACCCCAATCCCTAGAGGGTGACAAGCCGTTTACTTCAGTGGTGGTAGAGCAGTTCACGCTGTGGTGAGGTCTACAAGTTTACCAAGGCTGATCCCACACTGATTATTTATGGCCTCCTGAAGCCATACTGATTAATGCGAGTTGGGGTCTTGTTTCCCGCCCCAACCCATCCCACCACCTCTCAACCATGGAATTTCCTTGCAAAGCAAAATTGTCAGGACCGTAGCCTCCTGTTTGCTACAACTAAGTAATCTGCAAGAACCTTATTTATTCTCTCCTTTCCTGGTGGTTTATGTAGCCTAAGACAGTAACATAACTAAAGCTTAATATCCCATTATAAATAGTGCAGTTATGACTAGGCGTTGATACTGCAGGCAGTGGCTTTTTTTTTTTTTATGATTTAATCTGTGTGTGCGGAAAGTTGACTCCATGAGTTTCTGAATATTCATCTTATCCCATTCTGTTCCATATTCTAAATTGTCTCCGTTCTCAGTGGGAGAAATCTTCCTACCCACGTTATTTAAGCAGTCAAGAGATTTTTATATTATAGCTAGTCTATAGCAATAAAGTTCATAGAAGACTGTATTCTAACAAGAGCAATTAAGAACGCATTTGTACACAGGACGTGTAGTTTTACCGGCATTTTTGCTGTGCTTAGAGCTCCCATTTTCCCATCCTCCTTGATGCTCTATCAGACTTATGCACACAGTGAGGGATGCTTCTGATTTAAAGGGCTGACATTGAAATAAACAAGGCACAGAATAAAAATATTCTTATCTCATCAGCAAAATGATAGCTGAGGTACAAAGGGCCACATTCAGGTCTGGACTCTAAAAACAGACACAGAAGCACATGGAGATACGTTGGTGCTCCAGAGGTCGATGCATTGGGCACGGATCTGTCTAGGGGAAAACTAAGCACAGAGGTGGCTCTTCTGGGGCTTTGTCACCTCATCGGAGGTCACACTTGAGGATCAAGAACACTAAGACCCCCAATGCCAGGCATTTACAGCAGGACAATGACTTGTGTTTTTTAAAAGAGGAAAGCGGTACCCACCTCCACCTCCTGAGAGCAGTACCCTCTCCAGGCATGTTGTAAAATAAAAGATGATGCCATTGTCTGTTCCCAGACAGTTTGGGTCTCAGTCTAGGAGTGTGTTTCTGAATCAAGAAAGCTCAGCTTCCCTTCTGGAGCACACACAGTCTCCGATTTACAGTCCTTGTCGCATTCCACCTTGGTGGCTCAAGGGTATGTCATCTCCTGTTGTCTACTCGGGCCCTCTGTCAGAGACTGCCACTTTGTAGGAAGGATGTTTTCTTCTCATCCTCAGCTTTCTTAAAACATGGTTGCATGGTGACCAAAATATTTTTAGTGTTTTGTGCAGTGAAAGGCCAGACATTCCCTGGGCTCAGGTTCCACCGCAGCTCTGAGGTTGGTTGACCAAATTTCACTAAGTTCTAGAGGCTGGGTTGCTCTGGGGAAGGACAAACTGGGCTGAGGGATTTGCAGTTCTCCTCCACTGGAGCAATTACGTGTCGATCTCTCTTGAGAATGAGGCCCTTTCCTTGGATTTCTACCCACGTTATCCTACCTCCGCTGCCTCTTTAGAGGAAAGGAGGCCCTCAAGGCTCATTTCCAAAAAAGCAATTCAGGGAGAAAATCTGTTTCTTAGTATCATGGATTTTGTTAGAACTCTCTACTCTGCCTTCTTTTTTATAAAACAAATATTATCTGAAACACATAATTTACTTCTGCACAAGATTTACCAATTCTTTTACCCTACCTGGAGGGGATAGTTAAGGTTTGCTGACTGATGCTGCAGAGACACTAACGGGAGAAGAGTTTACAGATCTTTTCTGTCTGCAAAGACTGTACCCCCCAGGGGTGTTTGAAATTCCCACCACTGGAGTGATGGGTTTTATTTTTAATCTCAGTCCAATTTTGGGCCTAAGCATGTTTGACAGAGACCTCTTTTTACATACTGCAACGGGGCATGTGACTTTTTGAAACATGGCTGGTGTTTTACCACTAAGAATGCATACCGCTGCTGTAGTCAAAAGGAAAAAGAAAACCATTCTTCCTGTTCAAATTCAGACTTCTGTTAAAGCTTTCCTCATTTGAGCAGTGATTGCAATTTCCGATTTATCAGCTTCCGTGGTCTAGTTGCTACCCAGGCAGGCTACCAGAAGGTTCAAAATAGAACTGAGAAAACAGCATAGAACTGTGAAAAATATATTTTACCTCCAAGTCTGTGAATTTCAGAAGATTAACCCTGAAACACAGTGCTTCAGTAAATATTTTTTGTAACCGTGATTTAAAATTAGGGATTGCTTAAATACTTTGACTCCTGAGAGCCTTAAAATACTGCAGCTGGTAGAACTGCTCCATTTCAAATTTTCCAATGAAAAAAAAAGATTCTGCTCAATTTAGAAACGTAGAGACTAATATTTAAACCCAAGAACATCTTTGAAATCTGAAAATCCATGCTTTCACTAATTGGTCTGTTCCCTTCTGGCTGGCGAGCAAGATTATCACCGAGTTAGACACTGTGGAAAATGAACAAGAAGCCAAGAGATCTATGTTTGAAGCTTTGTGGTTATGTATAGCCGATGTACAGAGCGGGGAAGTGCATGCTGTACCGAATAACGAGGTGTGCCTTCTCTCTCGGGGGGAAGGCAGTGTTTCGGGCAGCGTGGTTCTCTCCTCTTACTCGCACAGTGCAAATGTACCAAAGTTTTTTGGTCCTGTGGGTGTAGGTAGGTGGTGAATAGGGGAAGAGCAGTTTGCTCTGACCGTGGCTGGCAGAGCTCACTCGGTTGGTCCTGTAAATACGGAACATCCCATGAAGTTTGTGGGATAAGTGTGATAGGAAGCAATTTATGAGTATTGATGGGTTTGAAAAAGAGGCAGCCAAACTCCTGCAGACTCATTTTCTCCACCTTCTCTATACTGGAGTCAGCTTTGGGCTTCCCACGGGGAACAACTAAAGATGTTTTCCCTAATTTGGGAACAGAAGAAGAGGCTTCAGTAAAGGTCTGTAACCCCTCGTGGGATGCAGAAGTATGGACAATTATAACAGAAGAAAAAAAGACAGGATCTGAGGAATTTGAAGGAGCGTGAGGGCTGGAAGTCCCAGCAAACTAGTGGGCCAGTGTGAAGAAGATAAATTTAAGAAAACTGCTATGATCATTGCTTAGGAAGGAATTTGAGATCAAGGTAAGAAAGCGAGCTGAGAATCTGTAGGATGTATCAGTGGAGAATGTCACTGAGCATATATCTCAGTGGATGCGTATCAGAGATTGCGTATTTTGTGGTCAATTCAAACACAGTTAGTTGTGGGACAGGACCCTACAAATTGAACAACACTTGCGGGGAAA